GCTAATGCTACAGGTTCTCTCTAACCTGCCTGGTTTTTTTTAATAAGCTTTTATTAGATTTGGTTTTGTTTGTTATGTTTGTCTGGTACAATTTTTGCATTTGAGTTATACTTTTTTGTTTTTGTTTTGCATGATTTCCATGGCTAGCTGCTTGTTCATTGTTATGATTTTTTTAAGCTCAAAATATGTATCTTCTTGTGCAATTGTTCTGCAGTTCCTAATATCTGTCTGTTTCTTCTTTCCATCTATCAGATAATTCCAAGGCCCCATGGTGGGAAAGGAGGGGGGGGGGGGGGGGTTGTCCCTTAAAGCAATTGTGAAAAGCATCTAATAAGGAGTTTTCTAAAATTTAATGTATTGGCTAGATGTTTGCCTGTGGAACCGAAGGTCACGGGCTCAGATCCACATGAAGCCGGATGTTTTTCAAACATGACCCTGTCTGCCAGGTTGACCCAGTCTTAAATGGGTACCTGGTAAAGACCTAGGAGGTAAAGGCGGCCAATGTGATCTTGATGACATCACCCACCAAGTGCTGATTGGTCTAAACATATAGTTCTTGCACTGTGTGCCCAATATGCCTAAGGACCCTTTTCCCTGCCTTGGGCTTATTGGGAATATAGGGCTAGACCTATATTTTTATAGACCAATCGGCACTTGGTGGGTGATGTCGTTATGATCAAACCGGCCGCCTTTACTTCCTGTACCTGGCACCCAATCAAGGCTGGATCTACCTGAGAGTCAAGGTCAATTTATTTTGTTGAAATCCAGCTCTGTCAGGACCCGAACTGAACCGCAGGCGGCGTCTAGCCGCCAACGCCACGACTCCCCCCCCCCCAGTACGCCTACTGGCATGCAAAAGGGTCCACCATGCAACCTTTATAGTCTGAGCTTTCATCTTTAAAAAAAAGTATTCTTTCCCATGTGAATTCCAAGGCTCAAGTTTAGGGGTGGGGGGTAGATCTGTGTCCCAAAATATGACCAGTTAAGGGTTTGCTGAAATTGGAGGTGTTGGGCCAAACTGTGTGGATATCACAACCTAGCTGAACGCCACAGCACAGCATGGCAGTTGATCTTTTAAGGGCAGATGAAGAAGTACTTATTATACCAGTATTTTCTGTTTGTCTGTTAGTTGGCATATTCGATAATCCTTTCTATTTCTTTTGCCTCCCTAGATTTTTGTATGTGCCATCTATTGAGACAAACTTCTGTGTCTGTCTGTCTATTCATCGTCCATCTATCTAATCAAATTTCTGTGTATAAAAGTTGGTCTATCTTTTTTCTGTCCATTTGCCTTTCTCTGTCTGTCTGACTGCATTATGACCACTTTGATTTATTTTAGAAAACAGTTTTTAAACAACATATTTTTTTTATTCCTGTTTGTGTGTACATATATTTTTATTGCAGCATTTACAGTTATGAAATTTCCTTTCATTTTTCTAATTTACTTCATTGACATTTGGATTCTTGTAGCATTTTGTTTGTTCATGTTGTTTTTGTTCTATTTTTGTTGGTACATTTATATACATGTCTTATGAGTTTATTGTACAAGACAGTATAGCATTGTTTGGTTTTTGTTTGTTTGTTTACCTCAGGAAAGAAGTCGAACATAATAGGCAGATTAGTTTTTTATGTAATACCTGTGTTGTGTTTTATGCGTGTGAAACATGAACAATAAGCAAACACACTGAAAAACATTTACTCGCAGCAGAAATATTGTTTCTGAGAAGAATGAAGGAATGGGATAGAGAAACAACTAAAGTAGTCCTCATCGAGACAGATGAAAGCCGATAACTTATTAGAAAATGGAAAATGAGAATGGAGGTGGAAGTAGTAACTGCAGCTCTACGGTGGCTAAAGAACAAGATGCATGCACATGTCTATTGTGACAACTGGAGAGATCAGTGGAAAAGGGGGTAGAGGCAGACCAAGAGAGATGATGCTGGATGGGCTGAAATGGCATGGAGGGATATCATCAAGAGAGCTGTTCCAGGCAACCAGGAATCGTGATCTGTGGAGACGCATAAGCGCCTGCGCTAGTTGGCAGGGCACATGATGATGATGAGAAGTAGTGAACCTGAGAACTTGGCAACTGTTGGCAAAGACTGATGGAAAGAGAGCAGGAAGAAGGCAGTAATGGATGCCTGGATGGCCTGGCCAGACGGATGGGGTGAGACAAAAATATTGAACTGATCCGGGATTCTGGTGATGCGTGTGAGATGGCAAACCATGACAGCCTACACTTACCGGCATGGCACATGATGATGATGATGATGAAAACATCACGTCTGTTTTACAGATCTGTTATTCATATGCTAGGAATTAAGCCAGTCTTACAGGTCATCAAAGAACAGCTAATGAAATGGTTTGGACATCTAACAAGAATGCCCTGGTACTATCTGCCACAGCGAGTCACTCTAAAACGTTACAACGGGTATAGAGCGAGTGGAAGACCTCGGAAAAGATGGAGTGATGGCATTAAGAACAGCGTTACAGAAATGAACATCAGTCTTAATAGTGCTCTTGACAGAGCTCATCAACGAATGTTGATGTACAAGGTGGAAGAGAAGAAGAAGAAGACTGCTGTTTCCTCAAGCAGATGCACTCCGACCTTAAAGCAAATGCCCCTAATTAATGGACTTTTAGGACATGCTTGTTAGGGGTGTGGGTGTGGATCAAGGGTCTGTTCTTTCCCCCTCCACCATGAGGCCCCTGTTACCTGCACAGGGAGTTAATAATTTAACTCATGGAAGAGCTTAAGTGCAAATAGGGAGAATCTAAACAGTGTATGCATCACTACGTATATAGAAAATCTTGTTAGAATTTCTACTGGATGCCAGTAGGCCATTTTTGGATGAACTGCCAGGACTCTTAGGGAGTCGCCATGGCGTTGAAGGCTAGACGCCAGCCTGCGGATCAGAAGGTCGTGTGTTCTCATCCTGTCAGATCCTGACTTTTTTCAAAAATGACCTTGAGTCCCTGGTCGACTCAGCCTCAAGTGGGTACCAGGTGCAGTCCTGGGAAGTAAAGGTGGCCAGCATGGGGCTGACCACATCTCCCACCAAGCGCTGATTGGTTTTTAAAAATATAGATCTAGCCCTTTATTCCCAGCAGGTGTGGGGAAAGGGACCTTTGCCGGGACTTTCAGCCGGAATTTACGGTTTTTAAATGCTAAGAAGCTAATAACAGTGAAAGTACTGTTAGAACACTAGGAACTATTGTCCATAAAATCTGCAGTATGACAGGGCCTTGTCTTGTCTCCTCTGCTATTTAACACTGACAGTGATATCATCCCTAAAGAAACCAACCAAATAAGGACTATATTCCACCAAGGAGAAGAAGATCTAAAACCAAACAGCCATATCAAAGAAATACAATTTGATCAGACAATAATTGTTACTATAGAAGCAGCACTGCAAGACCATATAAATGATTGAAATCAAATATGTAAAGAGGAGCATAACTAGAAAATTAATGCCCCAAAAAACAGAGGTCATGACCATAGACTCCTAAATTATGCTCGACCTCGACAGCTAAAAAGTACACAAGGATGAAGATGAAGTGAAATGATGAATGCTTAGAAGAAAATGAAGTCAAATTTCATATTCTGCTCCGACAGAATAGGATGAAAGTAGACCATTGCCTGTCTCTTATTCCCCCAATCTTCCCCTCTAATTTTTTCCCAGCCTGTGTAATAACACCCGTGTAATGTTAACAGAAAATTATCACTCTCCATCAGTTTGAAAATAATGTGATGCAAATGGGTTTCCATAATTTTGCAAGCTGATTGCTATATTGATTTCTTGCTGTCTTCTTTTCTGTTTGTCTAGTAATGTTTATGCAAGATGTTCACTGTTTTGTTGCAGTTTGGAGCAGGACATGATATGTGATAATGTCCTCTTCTTAGCGTTCACCGGCTGTAAGCTAGGGCAGAAAGTTCTGGTTGTTCATCCACTTCTGGACTTAGGTTCTCTTCTGTAATTTGAGTTTTGTGTGCATACATGTTTCACAAATCCTCAGTACCTCAGTTTTTCACACTACCCCACTCTTTCACACTAAACTCATTTACACTACCTCACTCTTTCAAAGCATCTAATTGTTCCACACTACCTCGCTTTCACAACCAAATTATTCATTATTTATTAGCTTCTGTTTGGCATGCGCCTCTCATGGATTTTCTGTCCTGGAAATTCAGGAATTCTGGGAAATGAGCAGGCCGATAGATTGGCTGCTGCTTCCAATTAAGGCATTGAGCTACTGTAAGATAAAGTGGACACGATGAAAGCTCTCTGGGATCAGATGATGAACCACGCAGTAGCACAGACAGAGAATCCTGACATTGAAAGACTAATCAACAAGGGGTGAGAAGAGGGTCTGGAAGGTATTCAACACTTCTTCTTCTCTTCCATCTTGTACCTCAGTGAAGTGTTGGGGGGACATGTAACATTCGTTGATGAGCTCTGTCAGGAGCAGTATTAAGACTGATGTTCCATTTCTTTAAGGCTGTTCCTAATGCCATCACTCCATATTTTCTGAGGTCATCCACTCGCTCTATACCAGTTGTAACATTTTAGTTATTTTTTGGTGTGGCAGTTAGTACCAGGGCACTCTTGTTAGGTGTCCAGACCACTTCACTCGTGGTTCTTTGATGACTTGTAAGACTGGCTTTATTCCTAGCATTCGTCTAATTGAGTGGTTTCGTATTCTGTCTTTCTTTGAAACTCCTGCAGCTCTTCTAAGGCATTTCATCTCGTTTGTCACAATTTTACATTCATTGGAAGATGTAAGTGTTCACTTTTGGCACTGATAGCATTTTCAACACTGCTAGGGGGAGGGGGGCATAGGCGGACTTTTAATCAGGTTGCAACCGGTACTGTTAGCATGTCGACTCTTCACATATTCTAATGTCCCAAGTGCGATGATTTCAATTTTGCATTCATTCATTCCAGTCGACTGACTTAGTTATTTGTATTATATAACCTGAACCCCTTTTGTTTCCCAAGGTGCCCTATACCTTGAGCCCAGAACATGGAGGACCTTCCAACTCGACCATCTTGGATCATGATACAGGGGAAATCAACTTTTACAGGTGGATCACTGTGGTGTTTTTGTGCCAGGTGAGTGGTGACTTATCAGTGTTAAATCCTTTGTGCTCCTTGTTCTGCCTGAGGGATGTTGTTTCTGTTGTGTCTTGTTGTTTACAGGGAAGCTGCAACATTTGAACCTTTCTGCTAGTTTGTCATAACAGGTTTTCCTTAGTTTAACCATCCTGGCAATAATAAATGAATAGCTGTGGTTTTAATGTTGTTGTAAAGTTGTGTAGCACTTAACACAAATGTTGACAACAACGGTCCTGAAATCCCATGGTATCAATGTGGAAGACTTTTCTTGACATGATTAGGTCTTGTTAGTCACACTCGCCATCGCCATGGACTGAGAGTCCCATGTCTCCTCATAGCACAGTATAACACAGAAAGGTGCCAAGGTGGCAGTCAAAGTTGTAGGACCGGGTTAGGGTTAGAAACATGCGCTTGTTGTGTAAAATATGTAGTTTTGTTTGGCAGCAGACCGTCTTGTGTTCATGTTGAAATTAGTATCGTTCAGACGGTTTAGGTTTAGATGACCGATCAACATCATGGCGAAAGGGTAGTAGCCCGTAAGGGCCTCATTCTACTTCTGACTCAAGCCTGTGTCTGAAGAATCTCAGCACAGTACACAAACTCGTAGCACCGTCAAAGATCCAGAAATACTTTGGGTAGATTTTTAACTCCAAATTTTGCCCGAAAAATTAATAGAAGACCACATGAAAGAATCCCAGCCTTCACACCGGGGCTTGAACCCGGGACCTCCAGCACTCAAGGCAGACTCCATACCGTGAGGGCACATAGCATTGAGAAGGTAATGGAAAACTGCTGAACATAAGTTTGCCTAGTAAAACCCAAAACATTAACAACAACAACATGCTGGGGTTGGCTTTGAATCATCTTGTGACAGATACACAACTGACATTTTACAATAGAGTTTTATTAAGCTCGCTTTTGTTTGTTTGTTGGTTTATTTTATGCAGTTTTTGCATATGATTTTTATACTGTTTCATGATGAGCTAACTGGCTGATATTTTGCACAAGCACACATGCTTTACAGATGACAGTGTGGTGTGGTGAAAAAAAAAGTGTTTATTTTTCAGAGAACATCACAAAGGAATGTTACTGGAACCCCTAAGGGAGTGGGAGCCATGATAGTACACTAGTAAGCTGCTTGTCTAAAGGTCTGGGGTTCAAATCCAAGGCAGTGCAGATTTGTTTCTTAGTGGCAGCAGTAAAAAAGAATCTACTGCACACAAAAAAGCCAGTAAAACTGGTGTACACGCAAAACTCAGGCCCTGGCACAAAGCCAAAGTCCAGATGGATGAGCAACCAGGGCGTTCCGTTGCAGCCTGCAACCAGTGTTCAAAGAACAAGAAGACCTTGGCTCTCGCATTGACTCACTATACAAATGGGTACCAGAAGATGTCATCAGAAGTAAAGGTGGACTGACCACACTACCCATCTAGTGTTGGAAGCAGTGTATCCACATAGTTAGTTAGTCTTTCCTCTTGTGTCGAGTGCGGCACATAGGGCAGAGGTCGTGACTCTCCATGCACTGCGGACCGTTGCAATCCGTTGTAGGTCTTGGATGTTTGAGTGGCCCATGAGCGAGCCTTCCCTGATGATAGTTCTACGTAGGGTTTCCCTTGGTCTTCCACAAGATCTTTTCCCCTGTGGTGTCTAAATGAGGGCTTGGTAAGGAAGTCTTGATTTATCCATTCTAAGGGCGTGGCCGACATAGTTCCAGTGGCGTTTTCGTATAAAATTAGACACATACTCTTGCCTGGATTCTTGCCTTATTTGTGTATTGGTTCGGAAATCTGACCATTTGAAATTTAGTATTCTTTTAAGGCATTTATTTTCAAAACTGTCTAATTTTGTGTCTAGAGTTTTCGTTGATTTCCAGCTCTCGCATCCATAGGTTAGTACTGGAATCACACAAGAATTGAAGATCTTGAGTTTTGTGTGTTTGCTAAGTGTCTTTGATTTCCAGATGTTAGACAGTTTATTGAAGGCACTAGATGCCAATGCTATTCTAAATGATATTTCTGGTGCGGTATCTCCTGTAGATGACATCTTGCTCCCTAGATCCACATAGCTGCTAAGAAAATGAGAACTGGGAGAAAAGATCAGCACAGCCAAGCAGGAGAGGGACACCGGACATACAAGAAGTCTTGTTAACCAGCATAGGACTGGCATTATTAACCACCGGACGCTGATTTATATGTTGAGGTGGAATCTTAGCACCTTTGGATGTGTCTGGAGTGCAGTGAGGATACCCTAGCTCATAACTCTTAACCCATCTTATGCTAACTGAGCTACAATATGTGTGATGTACCACTGGACAGGACTTCTTGGCAGTGCCCAATTTGCCTATATAACAGCTTTGGTACTGGCGACAACAGCATAGTTTTTAGATGTATTAAGTATTATTATATTTGCAACACATTTTTGGAGATATTATTTGTTGTGGGGGGAAAATTAGCAAATCTGTAACCTGTGACCCTAAGTGGTGAGGTCCATTGTTTGTTTATGGCGACCATAAGGGACATAATTCATTGTTTTTGTGCATTCACATAATGCTGTCCTGTAATATTCATTATCGCTTCTCTAATCGTAGAGTGTGGGTTAGAGTTATAGTTAGCTTTGACCCTGTTCTCGAACAGTATTAAATATTGAAGAATATTATTATGAAAAATTACACAGACACTGTATTATGTCCCCTAAGGTCAGCATTCAAAGTATTGGTAACTTACACTAGATTGTGTCCCTCATGGTCACCGTTTACAGTTTTGCCAAAAAAATCAATTGTGATGTCATAATAAACTTATGCTGACGTCACTTTGCTGTCTCTGGCTGTCAGTAAAACCTCTATCTAGAGTACATCAGACTGTCAGAAACTCATATAATAGTCTTTCCATTAACCAGGCCTTTATGTTCAAACTGCCACACTTGATCTGGACGGAATGTAACGAGTACTCGGGGACCCAGATTGAGAAGATGGTCACCATGATTGGCAGCTGTTCATTCGACACTCAGGACAAGAAGAACACCATGTTTGCAAGTGTGGCAGAGTTCCTGGAAATCTGGCTGAAGATCAATCGCAAACCTTTCTGGTTTATGAAAAGTCGAGTCGGACGAGAGACCAAAAAAGTGAGTAGATATCTATAGGCTTTTCTTCTTCTTCTTCTTCTTCTTCTTCTTCTTCTTCTTCTTCTTCTTCTTCTTCTTCTTCTTCTTCTTATTCTTCTCCTACTTATTCTTCTTCTTCTTCTTCTTCTTCTTCCTGCCCTCCCCTTCTTCCTTTTTCTTCTCGTCCTCCTCCCTTTTCTGTGTCTTCTTTCTTTTCCTCCTTTTCTTTCTTCTTCTCCTCCTACTCTTTTCTTCTTCTTCTGCTTCTTCTTCATACCAGACATCAATGGTAGTCATGTCTGACTACAGCATACTGTCAGTGAGAGAGATGTTCTTTTATGCCATGAAGCCAAACTACAAAAACTTCTCTCTTGATCTCTCTCTGCCTCACTTCACTTCAGACTTAAGCCTTGTCACACCATCCTCGGGTTCATACCAGACAAATGGTAGTCATGTCTGACTACAACATACTTTCAATGAGAGAGATGTTTTTTCATGCCATAAAGCCAAACTTTACAAAAACTTCCCTCTTGGTCTCCCTCTTCCTCACTTCACTAGAGACTTTTGCCTTGTCACACCATCCCCGGGTTGTGGCTGTGGTGTGGCAGCTAGGTGCTTGCCTGCGGATCTGCAGGTCATGGTTTTATGTCCTGACAGAATTTTTCCAAAATGACCTTGGCTACCAGGTTGACTCAGCCTTAAATGGGTACCAGGTACAGTCCTGGGAGAATAGGTGGCCACTGTAGTATTATCCACATTCACCCACCGATATCTTATTGATCTATAAAAATATGGGTCTAGCCTATTATGCCCACAAAATTGGGGGACTGTTTGGTCTCAAGGCATGGTGTCCGCCTCGAGTGCTAGAGGTTCCGTGTTCAATCCCTGGTAAGAGCTGAGATTTTTTCATGCAGACTTTGATTTCTAGTAATTCCCCCTGGTCTCTGGGTAGTGAGATCGGGCGCTCGTGTGCATTGTTGCGCACATAAAAAATCCAATGGCAGTTGGAAATAGAAAAGAGTAGCCCAACAGCGCTTTCCCTGGGCAAAAAAATGTGGAGTTAAAAATCTATCCAAAGTACTTCAGGATCCTCGCTGGAGCTACAGAGCCTGTGCACTGTGCTGTGCTTCTTTGGACTCAGACTTGAGTTAACAGAAGAATGGAGCACTTATGGGTTAATACCAGTGTGCCATGATGTTGATCCATTGTTCAAACCTCAAACCTTTATGCCTAATACATCAGAAGGCATGGCAAAAGGGTCCTTCACTTACTTTTTACATTGAACATACCCAAGCTGTTCCCTTCTTATTATGTGCCCAGAGTATATATGTGTGTGTGTGGTCTTCTTTCATCATGGGTAGTCAGTTGTCTTTATGAATTTAGTTATTTTAAGACATCTTCATTACTCTTTGAATCTGTCCGTTGTCCATATATAAGGTAAAGTGAGTGAACATTATCAACTACTAATAAACTGCATACATTCATTAACTGGTGCTTGCGCCGAATAGAGGGAATTAAATGGTTTGATAGAATAACTAATGTAGAGCTTTGGGAGAGAACTAAGCAAGCTCCAGTGGACCAAGAGGTGAGGAAAAGACGCTGCCGTTAAATAGGACACACATTGAGAAAACCAGAAAACAGCATAACTAGAATGTCTTTGCATTGGAACCCACAGGAGCATAGGAATAAAGAAAGGCCAAAAAACACACGGAGAAAAGAGCTGGAGAATAAAGTTAGAAAGATAAGGAGGACATAGGGAGAGCTCCATGTAATAGCAAAGGATAGAACGACTTGGCGTGAGCTGGTTGAGGGCCTATGCTCCACTGGGGGTAGAAAGGCAGAAGAAGAGAAGAAGTGAACGTAATCAGTCTTTCTAGGCCAGTGGTGCATTGGGTATATGATGCTAGTCATAATATTATATACTTGTGGTTCTCAGCCTTCCTAACTCCGCAACCCTTTAATACAGTTCCTCATGTTGTGACGACCCCCCAACCATACAATTGTTTTGGTTACTACTTGATAACTTCAGTGCATATGTGTTTACCGATGGTCTTAGGCGACCCCTGTGAAAGGGTTGTTGGACTCCCAAAGGGGTCGCGACCCACCAGTTGAGAACCGCTGTTATAGACCAACCGACTCTTGATGGGTTTGTAGTCAGCAGGACCACCTTTACTTCCCAAAACCTAACCTGGTACCCATTTAGGCTGTGTTGACCTGCAAGTCACAAACAGTTTTGAGAAGTGTAAAAGTCAGACTGAAGACAACAAGCAGACGTTTCTTCATCTGTGATGTAGATTCCCACATCCCCACTCTCAGAATACAGCAGACCAAGAAGAAGTAAAACACCAACATCCTTTATGATCTGAATATCGAAGGAAAATTGGCTCATAAACAGCATCCTGTCCCGAAAGCTGAAGTATTTTCCTGTATTAAATGTCATGGTGGATTGAAGAGAACGGTGATGGAGGGTGCGGTTTCCGGAAGAAGAGGCAGAGGCAGATCTCAGTGAATGTGGACACAAGACATTGAAGAAACATTGGCTATGAAAGCACATAGGGGTATGGAATAGGCTAGAGAAAGAGACTTTCAGATGAGCGATGTTCTGTAAAGGACCTGCTGTTTGAGGCTAATTGTGAAGTGGATTCGAACCAAAACTTTTAGGCCTGCATGTCAGTGTTAGTACGTACAGAGACTACATCACAAGTGACGAGGTTCATCGTGTAATTATCCATCAAATTGGCAACTATGAACTTCTTTTAATGACAATGAAAGGGCGGAAAATGCAGTGGAATGGACGTGTAATTTTAAATAAGATCTATCAATACTACAGGGTTCAGTAGAAAGGAACAGGAGCAAAGACAGACCAAGAAAGGTCTGGATACAGAACTTGACTGACTGGACAGGCCTTAGGCATGCAGCCATGAAGTCCATCTCATCTGACCGTCAGAGGTGGAGGGATCTGATCAGACTGTCAGCAGCAACTGTGACCCAGTCGCATGCAGTGTTATGGGATGATGATGGTGTTGCTGATGATGGTGGTGGTGGTGGTGATGATGGTGGTGGTGGTGGTGATGATGATGATGTTATTGGTGGTGATAATTATGCAGGCATTGAGCCACTATACAACAGAGGCTTCTGAATCTTATTAGGTTCTGTTGCAACATCCTCTATTTCTCATTGCAGATACTGCAGCACTGGATGCTGTGTGTGGGTGCAAACACCGGCAACTACCTGTCCACAATGTATGTCATTGTCAAGGCCATGTTCCTGGTGAATGTGTTCTTGCAGTTCTTCATCCTGACTTCCTTCTTGGATTTCGACTACTGGGGCTACGGGATCAGGGTTATCAAGGTGAGCAGATGGGTTAAGAGTTATCAAGGTGAACAGATGGGTTCAGAGTTATCAAGGTGAGCAGATGGGTTCAGAGTTATCAAGGTGAGCAGATGGGTTTAGAGTTATCAAGGCGAGCAGATGGGTTCAGAGTTATCAAGGTGAGCAGATGAGATCAGGGATATCAAGGTGAGCAGATGGGATCAGGGATATCAAGGTAAGCAGATGGGATCAGGATTATCAAGTTGAGCTGATGGGATCAGGGTTATCAAGGTAAGCAGATGGGATCAAGGTTACCAAGGGGAGCAGATGGGATCAGGGTTATCAAGGTAAGCAGATGGGATCACTGCTTACAGGCTGATATATCATCTACGGGACTGTGTTACAACCATAAGTGACTGTATTTAGTCTTTCCTTTGCCTCATGCTGCGAACGTCAGCACATCTGTTTATGGATTGAGTTGTTTGTTGGTTCACAAGTACAGTTTTGTAGCGATCCCTGGGCATTGTTGCTGGAGGTATGGGATTTGTGCTTTGTGTTATATTTTTGGCAGGCATCTAACTTCTCTGGGAAGGGAGACTGAACCATACGGTATAAAACCTGGTGCATTGTACGTCGGCCCTCTTGACTTTTACTTTTGTCATCGTTTTCTTCTTCTACTACTTCTTTTTCTTCTTCTTCTTCTTCTGCCACAGTTGCTGCGTTCACCCTGAAATGGGCAACTGTCATCTTGTGATGTGGTTTGCATCCAGGCTGCAGTATTTGCATCTTTTGGCCCAATAATCTCATTTAAGCACTCCTTAATTAGTCACCTTTTACGACGTGCTTGTTGAGGATCATTGGGTCTCTTCTTTTTCCCCACCCTCGTTCCCACATGAAGCGCTATACAGCAGTGCCCAGCATGTTTGGTGTTCTGAACTGCAGATTCAAAAAATAGCAAATAACCAGTTGCAAGAGTAGTAAGCCTATGCGATTTATTGCTTGTGCAACTACTGATATATTGCAGCTGCTGCTTTTATCGAACATAAACTGTGTTTTTGCTGCCGGAATGTTTGTGTTAGCAATTCTGACAGCTGCCTTATGCAATTAATGCATGTTTATGCTGTTGGCTTTGCCAAGATTTCAGTCTGTGTCAGTTATTTCCCTAAAGGACAGCCGTTGGCATTCTGTGTGGTTTTTTTTGGCACCAGAACAGAGCAACTAAGCGGCAGCCTATTTGCTGTGAAGCTGGAGATGTGACTGCTTGACCTGACAACTGAAAAGCAGATTGTTCTCACACCTTTACTTCCCCCAGGTGGTTCTGTGCCACTTCCAGGTGAAGTTGGAACTGTGATTACCTGACAACTGAAAACTCGCTGTTTGAATGTAATCCTCAGATCTACTACGATCAAGATAAGGTCGACCACCTTTACTTCCCCCAGGTGGTTCTGTGCCACTTCCAGGTGAAGTTGGAACTGTGATTACCTGACAACTGAAAACTCGCTGTTTGAATGTAATCCTCAGATCTACTACGATCAAGATAAGGTCGACCACTTTTACTTCCCCCGGATGGTTCTGTGCCACTTCCAGGTGAAGTTGGAAATGCAACTACCTGACAACTGAAAGCTTACTTTCTCACACGAGCTGTTTTAATGTAATCTGCAGATCTTCTACTATGATCCAGACAAGATCGACCACCTTCACTTCCCCCGGGTGGCTCTGTGCCACTTCCAGGTCCGCAGCCAGGGATACTGGGTCCAGTGCCTGCTGACCATCAACATGCTGCTGGAGAAGCTCTTTGTGGTCGAGTGGTTCTGGCTCTCCTTTTTACTCATCCTGACATTCATCAATTTTATAGGTTAGTATTCAGCAAGTGTCGGCGTCTGTGGCACGCTTCGTAATGCTGGGATGCATGGTTCGATCCCAACTGCAGGCGATTTAGCAGCAAGTCATCTTGCTTTGGTTTTGACAGTTGTATCAAGAGCCGATCTTTCAGAAGCATTGGCAAAAACTACGGAACCTGGAGTTGTAAAGCAGTGGTTCTCAACCTGTGGGTAGCGACCCCTTGTGAGTCGAACAACCCATTCACAAGGGTTGCCTAAGATCGTCGGAAAACATATTGATTGAAGTTATGAAGTAGCAACGAAAACAATTGTATGTTAGAGGGTTTCCACAACACAAGGAACTGTATTCAAGGGTCATGGCATTAGGAGGGTCAAGAACCCCTGCTGTAAAGATTACACAACTAACTTTTTTTTTTAACTTAGCAAAAAAGCAAAGGCTACTACTATTTACTACAGGGCTTGAGCTTGACAGAGGGGATGTCGACCAGTGGAAGATCCAGAAGGACCTGGATACAGAATTTGGCTGACTGGTTGGCACTTTTCTATCCTTCCAGATGATGATGTTATATTAGTGTTGTGAGGAGGCATGGGACTCACAGCCCATGGTACTGGCGAGTGTGACTAGTAAGACCCGCCAGCGTTGGGAAACGTCTTCCACATTTGGAGCATGGGATTTAAGGACCATTGTAGCCCTTATATGTATTTAGTGTACTTGTTCTTCCCACCCAACTCGGTCCGTAGCATTTTGTTCCCCATGAATCTACCTTGATACCTGTATCACGGATTTACCCCCGTGTGGGTTCCGGGGCCCCGTTGTGGGGAAAACAAGAATAGACCCACTGCTCCCCAAAAGCATGTCGTAAGAGTCGACTAATTGGGGAGCTTCCTTTGAAGTCGGAGTGCATCTGCCGGAGATGCAAGGAACCAACAGTCTGTATTGCAGAGAATGAGATCTGTTAAACTGATGCACACGTAACACTCAGGTTCTGGAGCAGGAATGCAGTTCAGTAGTGCACGAGCAACCAGAACTTTTTACCAGAGTGTATAGCTGGTGAACGCGAAGAAGAAGAAGAAGAAGTATCACGGATGTCTCCCCCCATTTGCACACATCTTTATATCATAGCAGAGGCTGACTGGACAAGCCTTAAAAAAAACAAATATCAGTGCAACAATTGCATCACCAGGGCACATGATAATACAGTAGGTTGCATGATCTTTGAGACTCACAGCTGTAAAATGAAACTGGTTTCCTGCACACAGAGTGGCTTGCGTCACTTAATAATACCCAGATCAAGAGCAGATCATGGATTGTTTGTCCAGGATATTCAGGTGTGCGAGGTAATGACCAGGCTGATAGATTAGCTGCTGCCGCTTCTCTGGGCGGTGAGCTACTGTATATGAAAAAGGGGGTGTGGTGAAGGCTGTATGAGATCAGGTGGACAGTGCAAAAGAACAGATCGGGAATCCATACACTTTAAGACAAATTTAGTGGGGGGGGGGGGGGGTTAAGGGTCTGTCAGATATTCATAATTGAAGGTGAAACAGAGGCAGACTTTTGATGAGGTTGTAACTGGTACTGAAAGCATGTTGACTCTTTATTGGTTACTGAAAAGGGGGACGGAGCACTTGTGGGAATGTCCAGAGTGCAGTGATGTTAATTCTTGATTCCTTCATTTATTCATTGCAATTATCATATTGTTTGGTATGTTGTTACATGTGTATTCTACAGTGTGGTGCTTGAGGATCCTGAGAACTGACCGCTCTGTGAAGTTTGTGAGCAAGTATCTGACTCTTCTCAATGAGGATGGTTCCTTGCCTCAGGTACCATGTTCTCATTTAGGTTCAGTAGCTTGCATAATGTTATTTGGTTTGTTCTTCTTTGCTGAAGAGTTGCTGCGTTGTGTGTTCTTTGTTGTTGAATAGTTGATGTTTGTTCATGGCCAGAGTGTTGTGTTGTAAGTCAGTTATTATGTGTGTTCTTTGTTGCCAAATGGTCAGTAATGATGTTTGTTCTTTGTTGCTGAATGGTCAGTAATGATGTTTGTTCTTTGTTGCCAGATAGTTATGATGTTTGTTCTTTGTTGCTGAACAGCCAGTTATGATGTTTGTTCTTTGTTGCTGAATAGTCAGTCATGAATTTTGTTCTTCTTGCTGAATAGTCTTGATGTTTGTTTTTTGTTGCTCAGGAATTATTTGTTGCTTGTTGTTCTTTACCAGAGAAATATTTGTTTTGTTTGTTGTTTGCTAAGAGTCATTGTTATTTCCCCCCCCCTCCCCCCCCCCTCCCCTCCCTACTCCTCACGGTTCTAACACATATGAACTTATCCATTCTAGGAAGGCAAAAGAACTGCAATGACTTTCGTCCGCGATTACCTCGGCAACGATGGTGTTTTTATCCTGCGTATCATCGCCACCAACACTAACGATGTGGTCATGTCGGAGCTGGTCACCAACGTGTGGAAGCGCTATGTCGACTACAGAAACATCGCTGTTCGCCCAGATTCTGTGTCGAAAGAGCCGGCACCATCTGTTGACACTACTCTTGATGATCTGGATAAAAACGAGTTAGCTGTGAATTCAGGCAAAGCAAGTTCAGAGCTTCATATTGGATAGGTTTCCGATATTTGACCAAAAGTAACTATTCTGAACTTTGTAAAGCAGTTTATCCTGTTTACCTTTTGGTGTTTGATGCATAAGACCAGACTCAATTTAGACTGGGTCCAGTAGTAAAGACTGACCAGTCTCATGTGTGGTTTGTGTTCCATTCCAGCATTTCTCCGAGGCACTTTGGTTCATCTGTGTGTGTTGATATTTGGTGGACTGTCTTTTGTTAGTTGATTCGAAGCAAGAGTTCAAATTACTGTTTTCTGACCAGCTTACTGTTTCACCTCTTTTTAATGCTTTAGTCATTTTTCTAGTATCTGATCCATACAGCAATACTAAGCTGACTAATCCAAGATGACCTCGAATGAAAGTTAAACGCATAAGGGAAAAAATGCTGAAAAGCTGAACAAAAAATGAGATGAATTCAAGAGGAGTGAAGAAATAAGAGAAATATCTGGGGCAACCACTAGTATTGACAGTTAAAGACAGACAAGATGGTGCTAAAATGAACACACACTAAGAAGAAATGAGCAAAGAATCACCAAACAATCTCTAAAATGGGAAATGAAGGTACTGAGGTGGTGAGGACACCAAAAAGAAACCCTAAGGTGAATGTTGATGAAAGATGCCAAAGATACTGGACCGGATCCATCTGTGATATTAAATTGATTGCACGGATAGAACTGAATGGAAGAACAGACTGTGAGCCCTATGTGACATATAATGGCACAGCAGGAAATTGTAAAATGTGGTTAAAATGTCCTCTGAGACATGCTTGCAGTCTGTGTCTGTCTCCAAGGTCAATCCAGCTTTATAAAATAATTACTAGAAAGTGTTGTGGAAGATAGAGTAAATGGCATGATATTAAACCTTTTCAAATATAAAGAATCCTTAAGCCTTGAAAATATGTCCTTAACATCTATTTCCTAGCATGTATATAATCCTCGGTGGGCTAAAAAAAAGAATAAAAGCAGAAGGGAAGGTACCAGGAAGGAGGGGCAAGGGCCGACTAACATGAAGATGGGCCCAGAATATGACTCCCTGAATATGAAAGTGCAAGATGCAGGAGAGGTGGTGAAAGACCTAGTTACTGTCAGGCAGACCATGATGAGAGCGATGTTCTGCAAAGGACCTGCTACATGATGATGATGAAATATAACCTAATCATTGTTAATGTTACCAGGCCTGTTTTGAGTCTGGGGTTACATAAATAATGAGATGTGTGTGTGTTCATTCACATTTTGTATGTGGTGAAACCTGTTTTGATTACACAGTTTTTATGATGAAATCTAACAGTTATGAGTAGAGTTTTTAAATAAAATATAGAAATGATCACAGCTTTCATAATGAAATGTAGAGGTTATGTTTACGTACAACTTTTATGATGGAATGTAGAAGTTATATTTATGTACAGGTTTTATGATGAAATTTAATAGTTATGTTTGTTTAAAGCTTTTATGACGAAATGTAGAAGTTATGTTTACGTGCAGCTTTTATGATGAAATATAGCAGTTGTGTTTACATACATCTTTTATGATGAAATATAGTAGTTGTGTTTACATACAACTTTTATTATGAAACGCAGCAATTATGATCTCCGTTTGGGTTCTGGGATTCCACTCTGGCGAAAATAAATAATAGTGGTGACTAATTATAGGTGTTTCCTTCAACTTGGAGTGCATTTGAGTTAGAGGCAAGGAACCAGCAGTCTGCATACAAATAAGCCAGATCTGTAAAATGGATTTGCAATCTTAACCCTACCAGACCGCTGGCCCGGTTTTCTAGGAATTTCTCAACCTATGGCTATACCGCTGGCCCTAATTTTCGGCTTTTTGCAGAGTACGGGGAAAAGATGCGTCACGGACTAAAAATAACCACCCAATCGTTATCAGTCCTCTTTGTATACATTGCAGATGTCTGCCCGCATGTGTTTGGATTATATTTGTGTTGTTTTTCGTGGAAAAATTCTGAAAATTCACAATAAAACGAGCAGCTGATGAGCCAAGTTCTTGGTGTTTCACAGTCCAACAGGTGATCGATACTTTGGTTTATTCAGACTCTGCGGGGTGATAATTTCATAAAGAATACATTCTTGAAGCAACACTGTCAGTGAGAGCGCGAATGATGAGGAAAATCTTGAAAATTATAAATCTTGAAATAGATCGATAGTAGGAGAAGGGCGTGTGTCCCTCAAACGGCAACATCTGGTGTTCACTTTGTGAAACAATGTTGATCCTGATGAGTGGATTCGCACACAAAGGTGGAATATTGATGCTAGATAAAAGGTAAGCCTATTTTTTACACTGTCTCCAAATTTCATTATATTCTAACCACTCGTTTGCATGTCACTAATATTTGTGTAAATCATGTTGGTTTTTTCGCGGTAATGCCCAGGAGCTGAGGTTATAGGGACAGTTAGGTTCAGGGCCTCAAGTCTGGTAGGGTTCTGGTACAAGATCACAGTCTAGAAGTGTCAATGAACCAGAACTTTCCGCACAGTTTACAACTGGTGAATGGTGAGAGGAAGAACATATTTTTACATAGTTTATATACACACCACTTCAGAGGTCCCAGTTTATATACATGCCTTTCAGAGGTCCCAGTTTATAAACATACCACTTCAGAGGTCCCGGTTTATATACATACCACTTCAGTAGTCCCACTTTATATACATACCACTTCAGAGGTCCCGGTTTATATACATACCACTTCAGAGGTCCCGGTTTATATACATGCCACTTCAGAGGTCTCAGTTTATATACATGCCACTTCAGAGGTCCCAGTTTATATACCTACCACTTCAGAGGTCCCAGTTTATATACACACCACTTCAGAGGTCCCAGTTTATATACACGCCACTTCAGAGGTCCCAGTTTATATACACGCCACTTCAGAGGTCCCAGTTTATATACACACCCCTTCAGAGGTCCCGGTTTAAATACACACCCCTTCAGAGGTCCCGGTTTAAATACACACCACTTCAGAGGTCCCGGTTTATATACACACCACTTCAGAGGTCCCACTTTATATACATACCACTTCAGAGGTCCCAGTTTATATACATACCGCTTCAGAGGTCCCAGTTTATATACATACCGCTTCAGAGGTCCCAGTTTATATACATACCGCTTCAGAGGTCTCGGTTTATATACATACCGCTTCAGTGGTCCCACTTTATATACATACCACTTCAGAGGTCCCAGTTTATATACATGCCACTTCAGAGGTCCCAGTTTATATACATACCACTTCAGAGGTCCCAGTTTATATACATACCACTTCAGAGGTCCCAGTTTATATACATACCACTTCAGAGGTCCCAGTTTATATACATACCACTTCAGAGGTCCCAGTTTATATACACACCACTTCAGAGGTCCCAGTTTATATATATACCACTTCAGAGGTCCCGATTTATATACATACCACTTCAGTGGTCCCGATTTATATACATACCACTTCAGTGGTCCCAGTTTATATACACACCACTTCAGAGGTCCCAGTTTATATACACGCCTTCAGAGGTCCCAGTTTATATACACACCACTTCAGAGGTCCCAGTTTATATACACACCACTTCAGAGGTCCCAGTTTATATACATACCACTTCAGAGGTCCCAGTTTATATACATACCACTTCAGAGGTCCCAGTTTATATACATACCACTTCAGAGGTCCCAGTTTATATACATACCACTTCAGAGGTCCCGGGTAGTAAGCATCTTTTGGATATTTTCTCCAGGTATGCTGGTGTGTTGGGAAATGGGCAGGCAGATAGACTGGCCGGTTCTTCACCACTTGGTGGTGAACTGATGCATGACAAGCTGCATGTTTTGAGGGCTCTTTGGGAGCGAGTGAACAGTGCCGAGGAACAGATAGATCATTATGGTCTGAGGAGAATGGCACTGCGAGGAGTTACAAGGGGATCTGGCTGACGCTCGACACTCAGGAGAAAGGCGAGACGGATATACAATCAGACAGTTACTGGTACTATTGGAATTTTAAACTCCTGGCTTGCTGCTGGAGATGGGGACGGAGCGCTTATTGCGGTGTCCCGAATGCTGTGATGTCGATTCTTAATTCAACATTCACATACAGTTTTCATGATCTTATTTCCAGCTATCAACTCCTGCGGACAGTTGTGAGTGTTCTTCTACTTCCAGACATTGATCTTGTTCCTTAAGTTGAGTTTTACATGCACTTTTCATTTGAGAGGTCTAGCTTTTTGTGTGCAGACTGTTGGTTCTTCACCTTTCAGGCAGATGCACTCCAACATTAAAGGGAACACCCATAATTAATCTACTCTTACCACATGCTTGTTACAGGGCAGTGTGTCTAGTCTTGTTTGCCCCGGAACTCACACTGGGAGTTTTCATGTTCAAATATGGCCTTTGTGATTGCATACAATTTTCTTGATGCAGTTTAGCAATTATGATTTCACACAGTTTTCATGTTAAAATATAGCAGTTATGATTTCATAATTTTTATGTTAAAATATAACAGTTGTAATTTCATACAGTTTTCATGATGGAATTTAGCAATTATGATTTCATACAGTTTCATGTTGAGTTGAGTCAGGAATTGGCATCACAGCACTCAGGGCATTCCCATACATGCTCTGTCCTCATCTTCACAGGCAGACAATTTGGCTGGATCTGCACCACTTGGTGGTGAATTGATACATGACAAGGCAGATGTGGTCAAGGCCCTCTGGGAACAAGCAACGGAATCAGTGGAGATAGAAGATTATTATGGCCTGGAGAGAATGAGGTATGATGGTGTAACCAGAGGGTCTGGCCAGTTGAATATACTCAGAGGAAAGGCAAGATGGACATATAACCACATTGTGACCGGTACCATCAGTATCGGAACTCAGAGCTGGTTGCTGAAGATGAGGACGGAGCATGCACGGGAATGCCCCGAGTGATGTGGTGTCAATTCTTGACTCAACTCAACTCATATTAAGATATAGCAATTATGATTTTATACAGTTTTCATATTAAAATCTA